CTAGTAATTCTCGACAACGATGGATTCGATGTGACTGCTTTGTTAATGTCTTCACTATGACATCACCTCTTTGTGGATGCCAGAACGTCATATGCGACCTCGTAGTATAATCTGATGAAATAGTCAAATAATTATTATTTTAAAATAATTTCATATTTTCTGATCAAAAGGGAGCTTAGGTGATGAGGTTAAATCTTTAAAATTGCGCATACTGCGCATGATTTCGTAATCATCGATCCGAAATCTAAGATTGAAATTGTCAAAATGTTTAGGACTCTTGCATCTTTAAATACAATGTGTTTGCGCTTGTGTAAATGTGTGAATAAAATTTACAGCGAAAACTACCAAAGACGGCGAACCAGAACCGTGTAAACCGATACAGAAAGTTGAGTGGAAGCTCTCGAGATCGGGGTAAGATGTTTTCACGGGGTTTAAAATTTACTAATTTTAAGGTGGATTCATCAAGCGAGTTTCAAACTACATTATGTCGTTCTGATTAATTTAGGGAGGTGTACGTTATATTTTCCGGTGGTTTAGCATACGACACAACTGGACGAACTCCAAGTATAACGGTGATACATGGGAAAACCACCACTGTACTAGAAATGGAGCACAATGTGATAGACTTTATAACACTATGCGAAAATCCATGGACCAGCGGTACATTCATAAAATTTGTCAAATTCTATTTAAGTTAATTTCTTCGTTATAGGCTGTGGAGACAGTTTAAAAAAATTAAAGCTAAATTCATTTTATTTCTGCTTGAATGACTCTGGCCACGACGTGCATTCTCACTCAAAAATCGTAGAATCTTTTATTTTCAATATTCAGTAGACGATGAAATTTTTAAATTGTACGTGTTTTCTCGTTTTGTTCAATTTTTCTAGTAGTTTACACACTCGACATAACTATTTGAAGAATGAATTATCATTGCACCTGTGTATCTAATTCTGACTTTATTAACAATTCTAACAGATTACCAGGATCCGTACGCTGTCGTGGTTCTGCTACAAAACGACTTGGTTGTGATAGATTTGTCAACACCTGGATTCCCGTGTTTCGAAAACCCGTATCCAATGGACATACACGAGTCGCCTGTGACGTGCTGCGCATATTTTGCAGACTGTCCTTCGGACTTAGTGCCAGCTTTCTATTCAGTCGGATCGAAATCTCAAAAAAAGACAGGATTCAGTGAAAAGGATTGGCCGATATCTGGCGGGGAATGGAGCTCAAGTTCAAGCGGTTACAATGAGATTATTTTAACTGGGTAAATAAATGTTCTTTTAATTTCGGGAATAAGACTTAATCTATCTAATTATTTCGTTGCAATTCTCAATTGACGAGCGTACATGATTTTCAGACACGCCGATGGCAGCATAAAGTTCTGGGATGCATCGGCAGGCACGCTGCAAGTGCTTTATAAATTGAAGACGGCGAAACTTTTTGAGAAAGGTAGAACGCGTAGCATAGACTCGGAAGAAGATCCTCTAGCGATACAGCTGATCTTCCTTTGTCCCGAAAGTCGGAAATTAGCGATCGCGGGAAGTGGCAGGCACGTTGTTTTATTCAAGTTCAAAAAAGTTGAGAGCATGTCCGAAGTGGTGGTGAGTAATTTATTTGTAATATACGCTTGTAGCTCTAGTGATAGCCGCGATTTATTCTTTATCATTACATTATAAAAATAACGTTAACTTGGAAATGTTGTGTTAGTTAATCGCTAGAATTGCTTTGTACAGACGTAAACGTTAATCCTCAGTTTGGATTTTAAATTAATTGAATTTTATACACTTACTAGCGAAGTTAATTCTTCTTTCTCTAAATATTGAAATTTATACTAAAATGAAAAAAAATATCGTGCAATATTGCACATAAGCTTTGTTCCAGATGTTAAACATTATTTTATTTCCGCAATTGTATCGTAATATTAGTCTATCAATTAAATAGTAACAATTTATTGGCTTTCACTGTAGACTTTGGAGATATCGCTCACAGCTGACCCAGCCAAGGAACTGGAAAGTTCATCCGACCATGATTCCCCAGCTGGTAACACTTCGGGAAGTAGCGAGTCGAAAAACAATGAATCGAATCAATCACTTAAAGTTAAGACTGGTTTGCAGAAGAGGGCCGCAGGCTTTCAGGCAACCTTGGTTTGCTTAACGATTACCAATAGCGGAGAACAAACTGAAAATATAACAGCTCTCAGTTTGAATTCTTCCTATGGTTTGTAAGTATTTAAAGTACAAAATATTACAATTTTAATGCTACTATTTGATTAAATGAAACAAGATAGATTTTACTTCTTTTCAATTAACACGGTTGACAATGCAATCAAATTGACTGTGACAATTTATTTTCTAAACTTCTTCGTCTCTTACTTCCTGATTTCAACCCCAGAAACTTTATGTTTGCTACATGTTTGTCGGCGTGTATATAAATATAATAATTATATAACATAAATCAAGTGTTTTTCTCTCAGTTGAATTATTTTGGAACCTCAAACTTCAAAGATTAAAAGATTGTAATTGTAATTTTATGATAATAATTAATCGTGTAATAAAGTAGACATTTACTGTTATCATCAAATTCTGAAATTCTGCAGAGTTGTTAGCAACATGAAATTTTAATTAAATTTAATTTCTCCTTCGCTCAACAAGATAGAGGGATTCTTTTTAAACAAAAATTATTTACTTCTTTTTTTTTTTAGAATGGCTTATGGGAACGAGTCTGGTATAGTGATAATAGACATTGTTCAGAAGATTTCCTTGATTGTATTGAATACCGGGGATATCGGCGGTAATACGGATCCGTGTCAACGAGTGCTACGCAGTCCAAAACGCCAGGACGAATTGAAACGAGAGAACGAGGACAAAGCGAGAAGTCCTAGCACAGACCAGGTAAAATGTATTTCTTTCTTAGTTAAAGTTGTCTCAAATATTTCAACCGTTACCCTCTTCATTTCCCTTGACCTTGTCCGACGAAACATCTTGAGAGATTTGATATTTAAATATATATGCATTTCGCTTTTTTTTTTTTTCTAGACACTAAAATTAATAATCTCCATTATTGCATGATTGTAAAGAGAATTACATAATTTGAATGTCCAAGTTTATTACTAAATCTGTAATTATAAATTTTTTTATTTCTTTTGTAAATACTAAAAGATCCCAAGGTTCTCAACAACATCGTGACACTTCGATACGATCATTAAGAGTAGAATTGATTAAATAGTCGTAGATCAGTCGTTAACACAGTGTTTTTCGAGAATAGCTCTCTAGTTAACATTACCTTGAAAAAGAAAAGGAAAGAAAAATATCAAAGGTGAAACTTTTCCAGAAGATTGATTACTATAGTAAATAACTTACTGCTAAAAATTTATTGGAAGAGCTAATATGTTTTAACAATTAACCAAAATTATCATTTTATTTCACGTTTTATTTGCATCGTTTTACATAATGAAAATAGTGAATGAAGCAGATTTTCCAATAAAAATGATAACTAACAAACCGAACACCTAACGATAAATTGAAGAACTGTTCAGTCGAATAAAAATAACGTAGACGATACAGAAATAATTGCTTAAAATAAATAAATAATTATAACATTCGATGATATTTAAAACGTAACCATAAAATGCATGCAATTTCTATAAAAACTGAAATCGAAACGATTAAGAAAGTGAAACTTTTGTCGTTCGTTTTATTTTCTTCTGCTCATAATTATTGTCATGCGTTATTTTAATTCATAAGATGCTTCTAACTAATCCATCGTTTAGATAGAGACTCTAATAGTTAAGTAAGTATATAACCACTATATTATTTTTACAAATTCCAAGCAGAAAGTTTAGTAACGTGTAGGCAATTTTTTAAATTCTGTTTTTCTTTTATGAAGAAAATATATTGTAATGCAAAGTTTTTCCTACTCCTGTTTGTGATTTTTGCATGAGCATTGAACATTGTTTGTAATCTTGAATACCTTCAAAGGCAGAAGATTGCGCAATTCAAGTTCTGTTTGAAGCTCTGAAACTTTTTATTAAAAAAAAAAAAAAAAAAAAAAAAAAAAGGTTTTGAAAGTAGAAGGAACTTTATTTTCACCATATAGAGTAATAAGTCAGAACAGGTGTTGGAAATTGTGAAAAGTTAATTAGTTATTTTCAAGATACAGATTATACTGCGTAACTGGGACAAGTTATAGCTCTGAGACAATAGAAGATAGAAAGAAACTTTTATTGAGCAAAAAATTAAATTCTGCCTGATTGAATGAACTCTCGGGAGATGATCATGTTTTAATGATTTTAAAATTGCCTTTATTTTTTAAAAATCTGTAATATGGTTAGCTTGAGAGTATCTGTTATACTTTTCGCTTTTAAAATGATAAGTTTTACAAAATTGAAGTTGAAGTATCTTTCAAACTAACTATACAGAATAACCAGATTCATCGATTGATATGTAGTGTCTGTAAAAAAAAAAAAAATAGAGATGAGTTTAAAGTATTCAGAATATAAATATTAAAGTATTCACTAGTTTACAATAAATCATACATAGTGTGTTACGCAAGGAAAGAACGTTCAGCTTTGTTCAATAGAATTAAACATTTCAGAATTAATTAGATTGGAATTTCCAAATTGCGATGAGATTGCCTTTGAGAAGAGCGAGTCGCATCCGTGTATTTTCTGCTTGGAATCTTAGAAATAAAAAAAAAAAAAAAGAAGTTATAGCAGAAGAAGTTGTAACCTAGGCACGAATCATTCAGCTTTTAAGTAACAAACGAGAATGTTATCGGCAACTAGTGGTCAAACTTGTCATTTTCCATCTGCCGAGAATTGAGATTGAGTTGCAACAGATTCATGTAAGTCATCAGAGTATCTAACAACGTGATCGACGTAAGGATAGACCGAGGGTTTTCAGCTCAGCTGGAGAGCTGGAGTTGTACTGTATTTTCCAAAAAAAAAAAAAAGAAAAAATTTCTTTTTAATAACAAACAGAACAAACGTATCTTCATCATATTCATGCTTATTATGCATTTAATGTTTAGCTAACTACGTGTCTACCTACGTTGAAACAAGTAAGAACAATATTACTTTTAAAGAGACAGCTAGAGACTTTTGTTTTTTACGTTTTCATGATATGCGATATATTATTTCCTTGCGACAAAATAAACGAACTCGACAGAAGTAGGTAGTGAACATACTGTAGTAGATAATGTTGTTCAGTTCTTATCCATTAGCTGTCAGTCGTATTTAGAAGTTCAATCGATGTTGAATACGTAGAGTAACGATAATAAACAAACAAGCAACACGACGAGCAAATGTACCTCAAATTAACTGGACAATGATTCTCATCATGATTGTATATCGCTTAAATGGCCCAGTGAAATTTACACGTGCGATCGGTTTTTTTTCACATAAACGTTTGATGGAGTCTGTGCTGCATGTACCATACATACGTATATAGCAATAATCAAACTGAAGTTACAATGATACTACAAGGTATACAAAGTGTGGTTAAACGAAACATGCATTTATTACTACATATTTTATATATATATGTATTACAACATATGTTTTCGTATCAAGTTGAAAAAGTGTATGGATGAATCAATTACCAATTGCCTCTATATATCGAACTCTATATACGAAAGCCCTTTTTTCTAAACAGAATTGAACAAAACGAAACCAACTGTTTTTTTTTCTTTAACAATCTTAAGCAATTTTTTTTACGTCTGCAAATACATACATATATTACTTGCACACAGTTAACAAAGTTTTTCCTCTTATAGCGTGCTTGTTCACGTATGTCTTTTGTTTTTGCGTTGCAAGAAGCGATTACTGATAAAGTGATAAATTACTCTTTAATTGGGAAATGCGTGTTCAAATCTTCTGTTCGAGTGTTACACGAAATTTTCTGTATTTGATTACTTGATTTCGCTTGGTGGTTGAAAAAGTTTGTCACGAAGAAAAAGAAAATTGCCCTCTTGGATTTGAAGAAATTATTTTATATTATTACAATATTAATAGTTGAAAATATTCGAACTCTGGACACTCGAATTCCTTTTACGTTCACATTTACATAGTTTCATAGCGTTTTCTTTTTTTTTCTTTTTTTTTTAAATACTGTTGTTGTCGTCGCATAAAATGCTATTTTTATGATTCTACGTGCAACGTTGATTTGCGTTAAGCTTTTATCGCCCAGAATTATCGCTAAAGACACTTGACTGGTAGCATTGCCTACATAACTATAGTATACTTTTCGTTTTTTTTTTTTTTTTTTTTTTTTTTTCTTTTTTCCACAAATTGAGCATCGTTGTAAATGTAGTGAACTCTTATGTTATATTTACCTCCTAATTGCAGATTGTAATGGTACAAAGTATAAACTTTCCACTAAGTTTAGTTTCCTTTGTTTCTCCCCCTTATGAAATATATTAGCACTAATTTAAAATGTGATTAAAAACATCGTCGTCGCTGACGTCCTCCATAGCTTTACGAATTGATTATGTTGAAAGTTTGGAAGGAATGGTAAGACACATTATTATATATCATACGTTGATAAGTAGTTCTTTGATTCAGTATTTCACTCGATGACCCAACAAAGTAAAAAGCAATAACATATAATATCATAAGATGTAATATTAGCTGTATAAATGTATATTTATAACAAGAAGTTACGAAATGTTTCAGTTACGTGCGTATATCGTCTCCGTAAATGACAGCATTAGTCAATTAATGACGATTGTAGCAGGTGATTTCAAACTCACATACACGTATACGTATATACAATCGGTGAAATAACTAATTTGAAGCATTCTATGGGATCCTTGATCGACAATTCTTTGGAATGTTTCGATTCGCTTGTAATGATCATATAATGCAGCTATGCGTTTATCTCGAGTATGCTAGACGTGTTTTAGGTTGAGAAAAGGGGAAGAGAAAACAGTATATTGCTATATAAATTATGTTCTCACAGTTATTTTACACAGCTAAAATAATGCGTGTATATTTGTCTATTCGATTCAAAATAACACGAAAGACATTTCCACTATTTTGATATTTTCTGAAGCAGTGATGCATACAAATGCACAATACACATACGTGTGCAGGGTATAATCGTTAAAGCTGTTACTAGCTAATATTTCAAACACTGCTTCCAGTGTAAAGTTACCTAGAAGACATGAATAAATGAAATGAAATCGTGTTGAGATAAGTAAGTAGTGAGATAGCGAGTTCACATTTGAAGGGAATGACAAGGAATACAACACATGAAATAATTAATGCTACAGCAGCTTTGGTTTACAATGTTTTAAATGTTCCTGCGTCTTGAAATTTTGCATGCTTAAAATCTCCGATATACGCAAGCAAATTTATTATACTTCGTATTGTCCTGTCTCACAATGTGAGACTTTACCTGAACTGAGTAGTCGAAACATTTTTAGATACATTTCTCACTCAGTATCACTCATCTCAAACAATTCCACACGTCTGCCACTATCAGCTACTTTGAACACTATATATATATATATAATAAGCAATTGTGTTAGTGTCGGTAAAAATTGTAGACACCCTCTATGATGTATGTAAGTTAAACACGCGTAAGTTAAAACGCGTGCTTGTTCAAGAAGTCAAGTTGAAGATGTATTCGTCGTTTTCAAAATTCTTGTCTTGTATAACGATTATACATATATTTCATACATCATACAAATTCTTTTAAAATAAGTTCCATTAAAATTCTATTAAATTTCTATAGAAATTCTATTAAAATTTTATAGAAGTTATTAAATATTAAAAACTATTTAAATTTCTATAGAAGTTCTATTAAAATTTATTAAAATTCTATAGAAATTCTATTAAAATAAGTCATCATAGTTTAAACGATACTGCTGATTGATCAAGATCGCTTGTAAATCAAGGATATTTTTACTTGTATTTTTGAAAAAGCACGAATACGTTCTTTTCACATCTGTAATGCGATAACGAGAGAGACACAGATTTCGCCGACGTATTGTTTCTATGAGCATCTTAGGTATTCTAATAATCGTCGAGAGATTTATACATACCTTCCCCCGTGTCTGCACTCTTCGATTTTTAACATTCCGACGAAATTGCATTCATTTGGGAAGTGACAAGTGACCATGCGTTTGCGATATCTCTTCGTTTGGTGACTATAAGAGAAAGGTTTATATAGTTTCAGTTTTTCATAAGAGTACCACTCGTGACGAAGGTATACAGCATTATTATAGTTGACGTAGCGTGTAATACGTTCATGACCAGACGAGATATAAAGTATTACGTTTATATCATCGTGTCTTACGAATTCCACGAGGGACACAACGACAGTGTCATGTGTATCATACGCACATATATATATATATATATACAACACATGAGATAATTTGCTTCTAGAATTAGACAATTAAAACAATCTTGATGTTCATTCAGTACACGTTTGATTCATTGTGCCAAAATCCAACATGTTCAAATTCGTCAGACACGTGGCGACACTGCCGTGGAATCTGAAGGGTTATTAGCAATGGTAGCCGACAATGTTCAACAATCTCAGCCGCGCGGTGATTTACTAACCGGAAGCAATAACGAGAAAGGAACGACGACGGAGGAGTCGGTAAACGAAACGAATAAATCCACCGGTGGCACGGTGAACGAAGAAGACTGTGCTAAGAATCACGGTTGGAAGGGATTCAGTCTGAAGAGGCAACTCAGCAGGGTCGATCTGAAAATAAAAAGTACTTTCACGCCGACATTGGTGACGTCTCAGAATGGGGTACTTGTATGCTTTTTGATATATATAATTTTTTTTTTTTTTTTACCCTATACACCTTTCGTTCCTCCCGTAGAAGCTGTCGCTGAGATGATCCACCGTTTTCTTTCCTTATTTTCCTTATCATTTCAGCAACACGTATGACGTGGTTTTTTTTCCCCCCTGCTTTTTCACTTCATGTCGTCTCGTCGACGTAAACGGGAGATGCGTCTTAAACGTGTTCCGCCTATTTCCCTCCACTGCTTTTCTCGCTGCTCTCGTTCGTGGAATAACTTTTCGTTTATTGTTCTCCTAGAAATTCCGTAGCTCGAGCGTTTCTAGTTTAGTGTTTAGCAGGATCTATGTTAGAAAGAAGAGAAATTACAAGTCGAGGAAATTAGTTGCTTGCATCACACGATCTTTGTTTTTTTCTTCTTTTTTTTTTTTTTTTTTTTTTTTCTCCTTCGAACACGAAGAGATACAAACGAATACGAGTATTCTCGTAAACAC